AAAGGAAACCATCAACAAAATGATGACAACCTACTAAAGGGAAGAAGATATTGGCAAGTAATATAACCAATAGGGGGTTAATATCCAACATATATGAACAGCTCATATAACATCAAAAAAGCAAACAGCCCAATTTAAAAACTGGGCTGAAGAACTTTCCAAAGAGGAAATGCAGATGGCCAACTGGCTCATGAAAAGATGCTCAGTGTTGCTAATCAGAAGGGAAATGCAAATCAAAACCACAATGAGGTTCCGCCTCAGAACTGTCAGAATCACTATCATCCAAAAGAACACAAATAGCAAATGTTAGCAAGGATGTGGAAAAAAGGGACTCTCCAACACCGTTAGTGGAAACGTAAACTGGTGCAGCCACTGTGGGAGAGTCTTTACTCTGGTGTCTGGAATGCCCCCTGTATGATAGAAAACCCCCAGCAATACACTCAGTCTCAGAGAAAATCTGCTGATCAACTCACCACACTGGTCCACACAGAGCTGCCAAACAAAATCCTATTCAGGAAAGGTCTAGCTAGAACTTCTCAAACATATAAAAAAAAGTGGCAGAACCCTGATCTACATCCATTTTGTCTTAAATACGGACAGAACTAGCAACATGAAAAGCTGATCCCAAAGAGGAGAGCTCAAGGAATAGAAAAGAACAGCTAACTACTGCGCTGAGAGAGATTTAGGAAGACAGCACAGCTACTAAGCAAGAACAGAAGACCAGGAAAGCAGATCACACCACATGCTTACCTCAGCACCCTCCCCGACGAGCCCCAGAAAAACAGGGACCAAGATGTAAACCCACAAGGGAAAAGAAAAAAGAGTAGCCAAAAGATGTCAGCAATGACTCAGAAGGTGGAAAGCAGCAGCCAGACGTGGTAACTGAGGAACAGCCCAGGAAAAACACTCTCATGAACACAGACAAAAATCTTCAACAAATACTAGCAAATTAAATCTAACAATGTATAAAAAGAACCACATACCACAGCAAGCAGGATTTATTCTGGGTATGCAAGGCTAGTTCTATATTCAAAAGGTCAATTAATATAATTTATC